TCATTTCACTTCAATTTAGAATCGCTAAAATAAGAGTAGGAAGAAAAAAAATTAGTAAACGGTCAAACGTCGCGAAAAGTGGTGTTGAAGGCAAATTATTGGGAAAATGTTATGAAGCGGGATCCATAAACGTATGTCGGTACAAGATGAGAGAGGTCTCCCGGGTTATAAGCAATAAAACCCGGCCATGCGTAATGGCTAAAGTGCGACGGGACTTCCTTTTCACTCGGACCGTGTTTATACGCCTGATTCGGGGCGAACGTTGAAACAAGAGGCCAGACGCATGCCAATGTTTCGATTTCAAAATGGTAACATAATTTTCCAAAAATAAATACAATTATTAATCGTTGCTATAATTATTGGTATTACAAAATACCATGTTTAAATTCGAACGAAACTTAAAAAATATGTCTAATTAAAACGAACTCAAATAGTTTGAAGAACGATATTTTGCTTAACGTAGAGATGGACTCAGTTTCCAGTCAGGGGTGAGGGTGTTTATAATTTAAAGATAGTTCTGCCAAGCTTTCGATTTTTTTTTAAATTAGTTAGTTAATCCTTATGTAAGGTATTGGTTGAGACAAAAAAGTCAATGTCACGAGCGGGATTCGAACCCACGACCTTCGGCTCAATACGCTGCTGCTCTACCACTTGTGCTATCGTGACTTCGATCCACTTGTACACCAACTTCCCATCTCAACTCCACTATTAGAAGTTTCTCTTCTTTTTGCCATTTTTTAAATGTCGTGTAATCAGGATTGGATTCTCGGCGACATATGAAATGGCCGCGGAAAGCTTTAGTGAAACTATACTTCATTTTACTTATTACACCCATTAGAGTTCGTGGTCCGATTGGCCAAATAACATTTTTTAAATTAATTAATCTTTATGGAATGTATTATTCGAGATAAAAAATGGCAAAAAGGAGGGAAAATTCGAAAGGTGGGGTTGAGATGGGAAGTTAGTGTCCGAGTGGATCGAAGTCGTGATAGTGGTAAAACAGCGGCGTATTTCGCCAAAGGTCGTGGGTTCGAATCCCGCTCGTGACAGTGACTTTTTTATCTCAACTAAAAACCTTAATTAATTGAAAGATATGAATTAATATAATCATATTTAATTTTTCATCACTTTTAATTTTACGTTCATAATTAATTTTTATTCGATCGTATTTATTTAGAAAACAAATCTTAAAATAAAAGTGAAATCCAGTAAAAATTTTCCATTTAATTTTCTATAATTTTAATTGTAATTAATTTGCATATGGGCTTCTAAGGGAAAATTCGAATGGTGGGGTTTAGATGGGAGGTTGGTGTCGGAATGTATCGAAGTCGCGATAGCGCAAGTGGTAGAGCAGCGCGTATTAAGGCGAGGGTCGTGAGTTCGAATCCCGCTTGTGTCACTGACTTTTTTATCTCAACCAATATCTTACATAAAGATTAATTAATTGAAAAAATGTTATTTGGTCATTCGGACTACGAACTCTAATGGACTTACCATTTTTTTTAAATCATCCTCAAGACTTTTCTCTTCAGGTCCGTAATTCAATTTCTATAAAATAGAGGCTTTGAATAGTGTTTAAAATAAACCCGAATAGTTTAATTGGTAATTGGTTTTTGGAAGAAAAATTTTCGGCCTATTGTACTGGTAGCTTTTTATATTTCGTTGTTGTAACTTTTCGTTTGTCCTACTTTATATAATTAAGCTCAAAAACATTAATTTTTTACTTCTACAAAAATTCGATTTTAAGTTCTTTTTTTACGAGGGTTCGTAACAGAGTCATATCAACCCTCACGGTGCCGGTGTTATTGGAAAAAAAAAACCGTTTGTAAGTATGTCGGGTTCGAATGCAGGACCACAGGATTCGAACCCCGTACCTTTACTTTACACTGATGAGCGCCGTGTCAACGCCTAAATCGTTGCGGCCACCGACGCCCCTCTTTTAAGTGCTTTAAGTGCTTACAGTGGTAAGTGCCTAAACCAACGTGAAAAGTAACAAAGTAACACAAAAGTGAAATAACAAACAAAAATCTAAGTTTTTATTTCTATGAAAATACGGTTTCAACATCTATAAAGAGTGCTTAAAACGAGCAAGAATGATGTTCTAACAATACTTTTGCTTATTTTACTGGTAGCTTCTTTTCGTTTTTCTATTTTTTTAAACTAAAACTGAAGTAATTAAGTAAAAAAACATATATTTTTTATTTCTTACGTATAATACATAAATACGTTTCTAAAGGTTTTCAAGAGTGCTTAAAACGAAGCCGAATAGTTTTTTATAAACATTTTTCATGCTTTACTGTCACTTTTCGTTTTTGTAGCATTTTGTTCATTTCAAGTCACGTAATTAACTTCAGAAATTATAATTTTTTATTTCTATTAAAATACGTTTTAAACAGCTTTTATGTGTACTTAAAGCATAGAAGAATAGCTTTTGAAAAACATTTTTTCTAGCTTACTGGCAGCTTCTTTTCCTTTTCTGTAACTTTCGCTTATTTAATCTCCTGTAATTTAAAAAAAATTCTAATTTTTGATTTATTTGAAAATATGATTTTAATGACTTTAAAATTTCTTAAAAGTACCTAGAATAGTTTTAACAAAAATGCATGCTTTACTGGTAGCTTCTATTTGTTTTATATAACTTTTTTTGTCTTAAAATCATGTAATTATGCCAAAACATATAATTTTTTGTGTTTATGAAAATGTGATTTTAATCGCTTTAAATAGTGCTTAAAGCAAACCCGAATAGTATTTTTGAGAAACTTTTTTTGTCTACTTTACTATGTAGTAATTTTTTCGTTTTTGTAACTACTTGTTTATTTTTTATAAAAAGTGGTTTTTAAGGGTTTTAAATTAATGGTTAAAAGAACCTGAATAGTTATTCGTAACACTATTTTCGCATAGTTTACTAGCGTTTTTTTTGTAAATTTTTTTTTATTTTTATTTATTTCTGTTTTTTATTTATTTCTATGAATATGAGTTTTAAATGGCTTAAAATTGTGCTTAAAACAAACTAGAATGGTTTTTTAAACTTAACTAATCTCTTTACTCACCTTACTGGCAGCTTTTTCGTTTTTGTAACTTTTTCTTTATTTAACCACACATTAAGTCCAACATTTCTAATTTTTGTTTTCTATGATTATTCGTATTTAAAGGCTTTTTAGAGAATGCTTACAACGAACTGGAATGTTTTTTGGAACACATTGTCTACGTAGTAGATTTTTTACAATAATTTTTCCGTATCAAAAAAACCCTTTAATACAAATTTTTATGAAAGATGGAACAAAAAATTCTTCAAATTTTTGACCATCAGTCAACAATTTTTTACGAAAATCACCAAAATAATGATTTTTTGAAAAAAAAAAAAAAACTACCAAGTACGGACTTTAAGACTATACAGAGGGTATTGCAAACTTTGCCAATAGATTTTACCTTCAAACTGGAACGAAAAATCCTTAATTAACTATGGTCTGAATCGCAACAGTTTCGGAGTTTTTCCTAATTTTCTGATTTCTTAAGATTTCACGACCTTGCTTCAAATAAACAATGAAAACTCCAAAACTAAAAGGTTTTCCACAAATCCGTTCATACCATTGCAAACTACGTTAAATTTCCAATATGACGTGATCGATACTAAACTTGTAAACGCTGGGAAAATAATCGTTTTGGTAGCCGGAATTTTGAAAAAAAAAATTTCAAAGTTGAAAAACTTAATATAGTGATTCTAAACTACTATTTCCAAATCTAGAGACCAACAAATTTCAGAAAACGTACTCCATTTAATATCCTTTTTAGTGGTGTACTTGCTTTTTTAATTACATTCACTAGTTTTCGTGATAGCAGTAAGATTCGAATCCCGCTCGTGACACTGACTTTTTTATCTCAAGTAAAAACTTTAATTAATTTTTTCATTACTTTCTCCAAAGATGAGGAAATCAATGAAAGAAGGTAGAAAGCCGTGGTTGACGTTAAGGTGGAACGATTAATAATAATAAAAAAGTTAAAAAACTGAAGGAAATTTTGAATGAATTTATTAAACGTTTTTGGTCATAAATGACCTGTTCAAATGCATTATTTAGGATGAACGTGGAAACAAAATGTCAATCTGTTTCGGTTTCCAAAGAGAAAAATAATTTTTCATAATTTAATTTAATGGCAAACCGTTTCTAAAATCTTTATTAGTAACGAAAGAAGTTTTAAGTCAAAAAATTATTTTAATTTAGCAAAACCTCGTATAAAATTAATTTTATACCATCATTTGCATAACGGTAAATATAAATTAAACTGGGAATTAGTTTCCAATGAAATTGAAAAGGAAAACAGATTGTTGTCCGGAGTGGAGAGAGAGAATTCAAGAGATGGGCTACTGTCTTTGCAAACGTTTTGACAATCGAAACCACATCTGATTAATTCAAGAGAGGATTGTTTCGCCTTACCTGAACGGAGTGAGTCCAAGGAGCACTCCCATTTTCATTTTCATCAGGCTCAAAATATAAATCATTCCTCGGATATCTGAATACCAACGAGGCCATGATTTGTACAACTGAAAGATGGAAATTTGCAATAACGGCTCAATCCCTTGGGTCTTGTATTTGAAAGTCAAATCATTTTTCCTAAAGAGAAATATGTAAACGAGTAAATCCGATCATGCTCCGGAAACAAAAGCGAACAATCAGCTAATAAGCCAAAAAACTTTATTATCTCATTTTTTATTTCCAACTAGGACGCCTTTCTTTTTAATTCTACATTAAAAGAATACTGAACACCTTCGTAATTATTCTACTTCGTTACATACATTCTAAAAACCTAAAAAAAGAAACCTTGACCTTCTAATCCCGTCTGCTGAATAAATTAAAACACAAAGGCCGTTACAAACTTTTAATGTAATTTGCTATTATCGCGACCTTATTTAGCAACTTTCGCAACCACTATCTGTTTTATCTTAACCGAATTTTTCACAAATCTGTTGGTAATTTCAAACTTTGGTACTAAAGAATACTTACAGATAGGACGAGTAATCGTCATTCTTTTCCAAAATGGCGTTCAGGGCTGCGTGGATCACTTCATTCTGAAATAAAAGAAATAAACGATTAAAGACGTCTACATTATCAAGCATATGAATAAAAACATTAAATTGCTTAAAACAAACGTGAATAGTTTTTGATAAACACGTTTTTGTCTAATTTACTAGTAGCTTCTTTTCGTTTTTGGACATTTTTTATATAACCTAATAAAATTAAGTTTCAATTTTTTTTTCTAACACAAATAAAAAAAGTTAGGTTGCAATCTGTACATAAGTAAATATTTAGTAAAATATACTAGTTTTCCAGTTTTTCCAGGATCATTTTACAATTCCTCCGAAACAAAAATTATGTATATAGTATAAAATGTATATCGTATAAAATTATGATTAATTTATTAAAATTATGAATATTCATAATTTTATATTATATACGTTTTATACTATATACATAATTTTTGTTTTTACAACTTAATTATATATTGCATTTTTCGCATTATTTTTTTGGGTTTTATTTTTTATTTATTTATTTATTTTTTACGAGGGTTCGTAACAGCAGAGGTTATATGAACCCTCGGGGTGCCGGTGTTTTTGGAAAAAAGTCCATTTGTAAGTATGTCTGGTTCGAATGCAGGGCCCCTGGTTTCGAACCCAGGACCTTAACCTTACACTGATGAGCGCCGTGTCAACGCCTAAACCGTTGAGGCCACCGACGCCCATAGAGTTTCATAAATTCTTTTTTTTCTATCAAAATAACAGGAACTAGATTATTTTTACCTACTTTCCTAGCAATTTTTTTGTGTATCTAACCTCCTGTGATTAAAACCAAAATTTCTAATTTTTTATTTCTATGAATATTCATCTTTAAATGCTTTTACAGAGCGCTAAAAACGAACATGACTTTTTCGAGAAACATATTGTTTTGTGTACTGTACTACATTTGTTTATCTAGTAATTTTTTTCTATTTTTTTAATTTTTGCGTTCCAAAAAAGCCTTTAATACAAATTGTTCTGAAAGATGAATTTTTTTTCTTCAAATTTTTATCTTTTACCCCACAATTTTGTACGAAAATATTAAATATAATTTATTATATAATAATAAATAAAGATTCTTTTTAACAAACAGAAACTATCAAGTGAAGGATTTTGCCGTGTAGATGGTTTTATCCGCACCCATCTTGAACAATCTGTGATAAAGTAAAAGGACATTATGCAGGGGGGTAAGTAAGGACTTTAAGACAATAAACTACATCTGATGGCACAAAGATGATCTCTGTAAATTTAATTGATTTAATTCTTATTAGTCTCACATTCAATGTAAAGACATAAAATTTAAACCTTCATAATACACCCTGTAAGAAAAAATATTCAACATTCAAAGGGTAACATCGTTTTTGTTTTTTGAGTAGAACGCTGCATATCGAGGACAAGAAACTTTCTCAATGTTGAACCAGTCGACAAATGTCTATCCTTCTTTGAGATAAAATTACTTGGTTAGGGACTTTAAAAAGTGATTAAAACGGACCCGAATTTTTTTAAACATTTTAAACAACTGTTTTACTGCTAGTTTCTGATAGCTTCTTTTCGTTTTTGTAACATTTTGTTTATTTAATCTCATGTAATTAAGCAAAAACTTCTAATCTTGGATTTGTATGAAAATACGTATTTAGAAGCATTAAAGAGTGTTTATNATATATATACATATATATACACATATATATCTGTGATTGTAAGATCTGTGAGATAAAATCATCCCTATTGTTTAAAAGAAACCACACCGAATCTTTATTAAGGGATACTTTCATACAAAGGAAATATATAAGTTGAGAGGGATTTACGAGTTTCTTCCTTTTTTATATATTATAAATTCCAATATTTTCCATTGCTCCTGAAGATAAGAAAGAAAAAAGTTTTCTTAATCGGATCTATGAAGGAGTTTTATAACCACTTTTGTTCCTACCCTTAGTGGATGCTTTTCCGTTTCTCATAACAAGATTCGAGTAATATTGCCAAAAGTTGGCCGGCCCATGCCACCACCTTTTATGTTCTTTGATTTAATAGCAGGGAACTTCTCGGAGAGGAGAACGTCTCGGATGTCTTTCCCCTGGTTGAGACTGTCATCGCCCTCTTTTAATACTCACAACAATGTGGCCGAGGAATTTACAAACTGTCTTGTTTTTCCACTCGCCGGTTTAAACATAACTGTTTATGTCCGGTAGAAATCTCATTTATCACAAAAAACGATCGGTCATTGTTTATTTCAGACCAGTAGCGCACAAAGCGAAAAATCCTTTTCACATAAGAAAAACATTTTCTGTTTATACAGCATTCGCAGATTTAAAAAAAAAAATTTATATAAAACTGCAACAGGAATTTATGAAATAAGCAGATAAAGAAAGAAAAAACATAACTAGCATGTTTAGCGCGAATTTTAGCCACCCATGGATGACTAACATTAGTTTGATAGTATATTATGAAAACTATCTCTTAGCGAGTTGTAATGAAACGATAATTTTCAGTGGATTTGGTTAGGACAGTAAAACAAGGGCAAAAATTCTCCATAACGTTAGTCAGCGACATAGCCTTAGAAATACTAGTACGTAAAAACCTCATACCCAAAATAGTCGGTGAAAACACCCAAACATCCAATACATGGAAAATCATAACATCCTAATGTTATGCGCCCGTATTTTCGAAATTGTTGGCAAACTGGCCAAAGTAGGTTCCCGAAGATCAGTTATAGGTCAAAGAAATAATAATCAGGATAGCAAGATCAAAATAGACCCTTTTTTCTAAAAATGTGTCCATAAAAAAAGGGGGAGAGTACGAACTTCACAGAAACCATATATAGTTAATTCCTGATTAGACAAACCCAAACCCATTATGGAAACACTACACTTAGCTCTTTCAGGATGAAATACATGTTATTAAGGCAATGACAATCGAAAAACAGGTTTCACTGGCAAAAAGTTTTCCTAACATCAAACAGCCAAGTAGGCTTAGATACACACCCAAAAAAGTCAATAGTGAACACTCATAAAATTTCCAAAATTTTACGAAATCATGACAACCTAATTTAAGGTCTAAAAAGGAATTGTCGGTAGTGTCTTATCTCAGAATGTTTCCTCACAACAAAAGAAAATGAAAAGTATACGATCTCCAGAGGTGTCAAGAAAGGCCCAAATTAATCGGTGAATGTATCAAAAATCTCCAAAACATAGGAAAAAATAACACCTTGACAATATCTTCGGGTGAGAACACAAAGAGTTCTGGGTAAAAACCAGAATAGCGTATATTATATTTTATAATTAAAAATCTGTCCAATTCCAAAAAAATGATCCCATTTGGAATCTTTTTATTTAGCTTAACAACATCTTAAGATATTTAAAAAAAAATTGCGCTTAAGCTTCATGATTAAAAAAATCGATCCAAGGATAAAAATTCAAAAGTTGTACAACCAGTCCTTTGTAGACAGGGCGTTTAAATATGCATGAGATATTCTGCCTCCTTTTGTTGTTCAACTCTGTATAAAGCATTTTCTGGACGTTTACGGTCTTTGATGGATTTAAACCTGAAAAATAGAGGCGAGGGATTTTAATGAAACTCTTTTTTGTGATACCAGGTCAACCCTGCAAATGGGCCCAAGCAGCAAAGAAAAAATACGCAATTGGTACTTCATCTCGTTCATATTATTATAACGTTTCGATCTATAGGGCAAAAATGAAAAAAATGGATTGTCCATATTTGTAATGACACTTTTCCCCACAAAACGAAGACCTTATAGGGAAAACATTTTAGATTCAAAAACGATATGTGCCGATGTTTCAGCTTGCTCCTGGTTGATCTTCTTTGGGTGGTAGTTAAGAGGGCAATGACCGGCCTGCTAAGAGATAGGTAGATAGATAGATAGATAGATAGATAGATAGATAGAGAGAGAGAGAGAGAGAGAGAGAGAGAGAGAGATTCTCCTAGCTTTTGAAAGATTTATATATCTCTTAATTGTCTAATACCTGGTGCTCTTGTTTAGTGTGTTCTTCATTCTCAAGCCAGTTTACTGGTCCAAATTTGTTATATTGATGTTACAAACCAATGGGTGATAGGGCTGCATTTTGAGGGTGTTCATTTCTTTCTAGACCTTCAAACCCCTGAATACACCTTAAAGAAGCGTGTTGTTTTCGAAGCGTCGTTAGGCAATTCAGCTACTCTCAGAATAGTTTGCGGCTATAAGCCTACGTATATAATACTTTTATGCCTGAATTTCTAAAGTATGGTATATCTGTGTATACTTTATTTTTTTCTTTATCAACGCCCGTGAGTTAGAATTCAGCTTGGAAAATCCTACAACCACCAATATTGTACGAAAATCAATAATATAATGTTAACTTTGGAATACATGTTGAACCGGCACACGGGCACTACTGGGTCTGTCTTCACTCGCGGGTTTTTTGTTTGAGTCATTCAAACGCGTTTCGGCATTACGCTATCTTCAGTGAAAAACTGTCTGTCATTTAGTCTGAGTGGGGTTTATATAGTGTTGCGTCCGTCGCTTGTCGCTGGGGGCGTTGCGTTAGGGGGCGTGGTTTCCGTGCTCGTTGGTCGGTCTTGGTGGCGGTTATTTCCATTGTCAGTTATTATTTGTGCGTTGTTGGTTTTTTGTTTTTTCCTGGTGTTGGTTGCGATGTTTTATTCTTCTGAACGTTTTCGTGTTTTGGTATGGAGTGTTTTTAGTGGTGTGAAGGTGGTGTGTGATTGTGAGTTTGTTTGTGCGTTTATAAGTTTTCCGTCTTTAAGTGTTATTTGTTTGCATATCTCGAGGTTCTCCAGTATGTTTAGTTTTCGTCCTTTTTGTGCGTTGTGTATTAATGTCATGCTTGTTTCTGACAATAACTGACAATGGAAATAACCGCCACGAAGACCGACCAACGAGCACGGAAACCACGCCCCCTAACGCAACGCCCCCAGCGACAAGCGACGGACGCAACACTATATAAACCCCACTCAGACTAAATGACAGACAGTTTTTCCATCTTCAGTGAAAAAGAAGTGTACGATCTCCAGAGGTCCCAGCCATGGTAAATTCATCAATAAAAGGCCCCAAACCAATTAGGGAAGCCCTACAACCAAAGTTACAACAAAATCTATCTGCTTTATTACAACCAATATTTAAACAAAAAATTAAAACCGGAAATATTTTA